GGGGGAGGGGGGCCCTGCGGGGGGGGGGGGTCAGCAGGCAGCCACAGGCAGGGCTGCCCAGATTAGCATCCCCGACAGGGCCGCTGGGGAGATTTACAGGACCGGGGAGCTAAAGCGGCCGTGCACGCAGGAAAAAGAGAGTCCAGTAAATAGACTTTCCGTAATCCTGTTTGGTGCAGTCCCAATCCTCCCAGCCCCAGCTCTCCCAGGCTGCGGCACCGGGGTGTCATCGTTTCCCCCCACCCCCAGCAGCTGGGGAACCCCAGTGCAGGGCACAAACGGGCCAGTGCAGGCAGCAGTGCAGGCAGCAGTGCAGGCAGGAGGCTGCTGCAGGGCTCAGTGCTACCTGGGGGAGCGTCCCCCACGCTGTCCCCCACCCCGGGATGGTGACTTTGAGGCAGGCCCCCACCCAAGCCCTGGCACAGGGGGGAGCATCAAACTGTGCCATGGCCACACTCGCAGTGGGATGGGCTGTCCCGGGGGGGACCCCTGCTCCAAACTCCTTGAGGTGCCCTCCCTGATGGGGGTTACCCCTTCCCAGTGCCGCCACAAGCCGGGGCATCCCCGGGGCTAATTACCCAAATGGCCACAGGCTGGTGCGAGGCGGCTGCTATTCCCTAATACAATTTACCCTCAAGTGCAATTTAATTTTCCGTGAGGCCAGTGGCCGGCCCCCCGCACCCCCCCTCCACGCACCCAGCCACCTTCCCACCCCTTCGGCACTCGCTCCCTCCCGCCTCACCCCTCTTCCCTTTCCCTCCTCGGCACAAGTGAGAGCCTTTCTCCACCGGCATCCCCCCGTCTGCCCACGCTCGGGCCATAAAATCACCAGGGGTTCGCTTAATGTCAATTAATTTTCAATTACAACTAGCAACACCCCATTCGGCAGCACCTCCGAGGGTGAGAGGCTTTCTCCAGCCGCTGGTGAGTACCCAGGTCTCGCCGTGCTTGTCCTCATGCCAGGCCACCCCGGCAATGGGGGCTGGGGGGGGTGAGGGGTGAGGCAGGGTCACAGGTAATTATTGGGGTAATTAATAAGTGGGGAGCAGTGGGGGCCACCGGCAGGCTGCGCATATGGGGGCTCGGAGTGCTGTGGCCAGCGCTGCCTGGAGGGGAGGCAACCCCACATCAAACTGTGGCTATGGCAGCTTTGGCCCCGTAAGGATGTCCCCTCACTTGGGCTGAGGGAGCTGGTTTCGTCACGCGAGGGGACTCTGAGAGCTGGGCTGAGACCTGGCAAACTCGCTGCATGGGTGGTATGAAGCCTTGCTGTCGGCTGGGCTCCCTGGCCCACTCTGAGCCCACTCAGGCTTTGCCAATGGGGGACATGACTGCGCTCGCACACACCCCCCCCAGCCATGGGCCAGGTGTGGGTTTTCTTTGCAAACCCTAATTCTGCCCTTAAACATCCCTGTTGCACTTAGGAAAGATGCACCGATGTCCCCATCGGTGACACACTGCCCTCGGTGTCCCCAGTTCCCGTGTGCCCAGAGCTGGGGCACACGAGGGGAGGCTGGGTCTGGGTCTAGGCAAAGGCTCTGAGGTTTACCTGCTTTTTTATTATTAATTAACACTGACAGGGAAGGTGCAGGAGCACCATCCCTGCTCGTCTGTGTGTTTTGCATAGTTGTGTCATGCTGCTTGTGTCTTCATCCGGCTGCAGGGCCAGAGGGGGTTCAGGCAATGCCAAGGAAGGAGCGGGGCATCTGTGCAGGGCCAGAGCCCCCCCAAAACTGGCCCAGAAATACAACCTGCTGAAAATCGTGACATTCACCCTTCTGCAGGCTGGTCACCACGGACCCTCAGCTCTGTTTCGGCTCTGAGAGGAGGACAAAACCTGGTGGGGGGCATTTCACACCCATCATGTGTACCCCCCCCCCCCCCAGGCCGAACCAGGACCCAGCAGCACCCTGGGTGGCACAAAGGGGGTTGCTCATGCCCACCTCCACCATCCTCTCCTCCCTGAATGCCGGGATAACGGGGTGGGTGTGCTGGGGAAAGCAAACTCAAAGGAGATCAAAAAACCCCAAAGCAACCAAAAAAAACCCCAAAAGAGACCAAAAAAATCCCAAAGCGACCAACAAACCCCCAAAGCAACCAAAAAAAAACCCCAGAAGAGATGAAAAAACCACCAAGGCAAGGAACAGATGGACAGCAGGAAGGATAGAGGGGGACAAAGCAATATTACAAGGGGAGGAAGGGATGAAGGCTCTACTGGGAAGATGTGATGAGCCAAGAGTGAGCAGGGAGGAGGATGCTGGTGGGTTTTTTTTTTTTAGCAGGCACTCATGGTGGCAGCCCCCCCCAGCAGCAGGATGCTCCCCTGAGGTGAAGGCTTGGTGCTGTGTGATTCCCTTTGCCTGCTTGTTGCTGCCATGAGTGATTCGGAGCCGGGCAGAGGGGGCTGGATCAATCTGGCAAAGCAGAAAAATGAATGAAAATTGAATTCCCCAAGGAGAAGGGGGTGGGGGGAGCTGTTATCCCAGTTGAGAGATAAATCAGAGCGTGCCAGAGAGGGAGGGACGGAGATGACTCCCAGCAGCGCTGGAATAATTAGGGAAATAGGTTGGAAATGTAAAGTGGTGGGATAGGGAGGCCACAGGGCAGTGTCTGTTTGTCCGGCTAAACTTCTCCGTAAATCTGCCTTAGGGACCTGCTTTTCTGCGTCCCCGGGCTGGGAGCCATGCTCCCACACTGCTGGCTGGCTGGGGACCGTGTAGGGGGGACGGCAGCCCCTGCCCCAAGGGGCTCGGGAGCGCAGGTGGCCAGGGGCGGCGGGGGCCTGGATGTGCTTAATGCACTTAAGAGCCGGTGCTTGATTTAGGGGAGAAGGGGAGGAGATGGGAGAAGGGGCTGGGATTCACCTCCCCTGCGGTGGGGAACCGATTTCGGGGTTTGGTGGACTGTGGGGGTGTGGGCTCACTCCTGCAATGATTGCACACCGGTCTCTGCCCAGTGGTGCGAGAAGAGCCAGCTGGGGTTTTGCTGGTAAAATGAAGCTTTGGGGTTAAAAACCAGCACCTCATTATAAAAATACTGGTTTTTTTCCTAAGGAACCATCAGGCTTAATACACTTCTTAGGTTTTATTACTTTTATTTTCAAACAACATGCTTTTCTCCAATTGCTGGCGTGTCCTACCCACACATTTCCCGAGGGGCTTGATCAAGTTTTTTTCAGGTGGGAAAAGCCTCTTCCTCATTTGCATTTCAGTGTGGAAACGAAGGCATGGAAAGGGCACATGTGAGCCGAGGGCAGCTGCGCATTCAGCTGGACTGAGCACCCTTCCGTCCCCTTCCAGCGCTGCCATGTGTGCCACCGCGGAGGTTTCACCCCCCTTGGGCAGGCTCAGTGCTCGAAGCACCCCTTAGCCAGGCAGAGCGGGACATCACACCACATCGGGGCCATTTGGCACCATCGTCACCGAGATGGTGACACGGTGAGCATCAGGAAGGGTGATGCTCTAAGTACCCACGCTGGCTAATTTGGGCTGCATTTTGGTGATTTTTCCTTTGCTGCTGGGTACCGCCGCCTCTCGACGCATTGGTTTTGCTCTGGTACTCATCGACGGGGTTGCCCTGGGGTTTTCCCTCAGCAAAGCCCCGTGGGGATTGTTCTGGAAGCCATAGTCATGCCAAACCCTTTGCCCCATGCCTTTGGCATCGCCACCCTTGTGCCGCAGCAGCCGGCGAACGGGCTGTCGGGCTGGGCGTGCTGCAACACTGCGGAGCTGGGTTGGCTCTTTCCATGCCCAGATGTGTCCCTGCGGGAGTTGCTGTTGGGAAGAGCCCCGGGACCCAGTGCATTCCAGCGCCTGGTCGAAGCAGAGCTTGCCATGGCCCTGCCCGGCACTGGGGTTGCCCACGGAGGGGAGAAGTATCTCATGTCGACACAGCGGCAAGGGGATGGTGATGTGCCGGTGTCCGCCGGAGCTGGGGAAGCCGCCCGCCTGGCTAAGCCCCCCAGTCCCCGTGGCAGGAGGGAGAGGACTGGTGCTGTGTGCCCGAAGCCGGGACTCGCCACCCCCTCCCATTGAGCGGGAGAAGGTCCCTGAGCCCCGACAGCAGAGACTGGGGCCTTTGGCTCTTCGCTCTCTCCCACCAACGGCAGCTTCGGACAGACCTCCCTGGCACCGGACAGCGCCCCCGGTCGCGACAGCACTATGTTGCGACAGCACTGTGTCGCGACAGCCGCTCGAGGCCGGGCCTGGCCCCACTGAGCTTCGCGGCCGCGGGGCGCCCCTAGACCCCGCCCCTTCCCCGCAGGCCCCGCCCCCGGACCTTAAACCCCGCCCTCCTTCCCCT